AAAATATCCGCTGAAGGAGTTAAGATCACTGCAAAGTGAACGGACCAGCCTTAAAGAGACTTTGACATCTGGACTGTGGTCTCCATTGGGAAAAGAAAAAAATGCTTCATAATTCAAGAATAATGTTATTTTTGAATTGATTATAAGAATGCAAAGCGTTTGTCTTGTAGGTTTAGGGTTAGTCATTATAAATGCCTTTATTCAGTGTGCGTCACTGTCGTCTTCTAACTGAAGTGAACTGGAGGAATAAAGCGATTTACACACACATCAGCAAAACATGAAGCACGCCGCTGGTGATGATCTGCTCAGATCTAAAGGGAGCGACTGCACTGACAAACTGGCAATATAAGGTGGAAATTGTGTTATTCTGTGTATAGTTTTCTTCTTGCGTTCCCTGATTCTGTTCTACACAGATGATTAGAAACGACCTCCTTGACCTCTTTATCGTCTCACTGTTACTTCACTGATTTATTATTTATGATGCAATACTGTATTACAGCTATGAGGACGGCAGACGGATCACAGGGAATAATGGAGGAGCTGGTATAGATGATATAGACACGTGTTTGTAATGGTGCCACAGTCTGTCATGAGACCTGGAAGGAGGCGTGAAACCTTGCCGCGATGCTTATTTAGAGAGGAATAGGTCAAATATTTTAGATGTGAACAATTCGTTTCCACCTGAGTTTTCTGTCTTTGTATTTACTGCTTCTGTCAAAGAAATACATCTGTCTGATCATATTTAATATGCATATGTATCTGTACCATTGCATATTAAGTGCTGAAAAACGTTTTGCCTCAAAGTAGTTTTTACAGAATATTAAACAACTGATTGCTCCGACTCTAACATAAAACATGCCATCGCAGCGGTGTTCATCGGCATCAGAATTTAATGTGCCGTGTTGCTGTGAAATCACCAACAGCCTACACTAATGAACAATATGATTTGCTGGGAGAATTGATTATTATCATTAAGGAATTTAACTATTTATAGAGCTATCTAGTGCTAAAATCACTGAAATCTTGTGGTTTATTGCATTATTGTAAAGTTTATCAAAGAGTCAAGCCCATGTATTAGATGGCTTCACTGCTCCCAAAATGCATTTAGGAATTTTATATAATAACAAAATAAATGTTACATTTGAAAATAAATTTCATTGATAAACAAAAGTAATTAAGAGCACCCGTGAAGTCTGTTTGTTAGCCATGTGTTCAGTTAGTCTCTTTTGTTTTTATGAAATTTACTGAAGTCAAGCCTGAAGGAGTCCAAAGATCCCAGAGTGTTTCTGTACGCGTGACTCACACGAGCCATGATCCATGGGCAAAGAGTGTGTGTGTGTGCACGCTGCTTATAGATGATTAGATTAACACACACACCCTTAACTAACAAATATAAGATTTATGGTACCTTTGTGAATTCGAGGAGAATTTTCAGCAAGGTCCAGAAATTTACTCAAATATTTAAGAAAGTTTCATTACTTGAAACAGTATGCCTTAATTACATAATTGTATTCTCGTAACAGTGTGATTCTATTCTCAGAATCTGATTTAAATGCGAGTGAAAGTATGCTCCCGCTCTCCAGAAGCGTCTGAGGTCTTTCTTCATCTCCCGCTGCCGTTCTCTCGCACACACTGCTCTTGGCCAGCGAGAATGACTGGAGACAAGCACAGCTTTGTTCATTCATGAGCTCAGACGCTTCACCAGCTCAAGTCCAGCACTCAATGGGCCTCATGCATGAAACTCCAGCACAATCAATGCTTTTCTGTGAAAATCACACATTAATCCATTCACAAGTAAACTGTTACACCACATTTACTACAACAATTTATACTACACAGAAATGTAAATGTGCTTGTGTTTAATGAATGAGGCTCATATGTGCAACTATATGCACAGTTTATTTGTGTCCTTGACATATCAGTGACAGATATTAATTGTTTATAAATGGATCCAGTCACAGTGAGTTGATATGGAGGAAGAGCTGCAGGATAGAAAGTGTTGCTCTTAAACAGCAGAAGAACTATCAGGAGTCAGATGTGGTAAAGCGTGGTAAAGTATGTGCTGCTCCTGTCTGTGAAGATCATGTGTCGCTCTGAAGAACCACAGCGTGTTTAGATCGGTTATGTAGTCACGTATGTAACCCATTACATCACAGTTTGATCTGATGGCTGTGGAAACACGGGCTGTTTGTGAGTCAAGAACAGGCTCACTTTCACCTGCGTACATTTTCAGTGCGTTGAAAACAATAAACTAAGCGCTAACACCATGTGTGAATTGGGTTACATTGCTCTGTTAAAATGTAAAGCATGTTTAAGAGTAGTTACACTGATTTACTGACACATAGCGTCGTGTCTTATATTAATGGTAAATTACAGGGACATTATTTTATGTTTGACTGTAATTAGATTGAGCACATTTACAGAAACTGGATTAGGGTTAGGGTCCTTATCCTAAACACAAGATACATTTACTGGATCATTTGTTTTCAGAGAATGTTTTGTGACATTTATTTTTGTCCCGCCCACTGACAAATAGTTTGTCAAGTTTTAAAGAAACATTCTGTAGAAAAAGTTCTGATCAAGGAAATCAAGTTTTGCACTGTACATCAGTAAAACTCAACCGGTTTAACTGTAAGGAGGTGAGGAAACTTCAAAAATAACCAGAAATGCATGATACAATCCATCTAAAAGTCAGGTTGAGATTAAGTGATTAATTTCTGTATCAACATTCTGTGACAGAATGTCAAGTTATGTCCATGTATGCTTCAGAATATGACAGTCAGGCATTAATGTCATTCTTAGGTGAATGTGCTTTTCTTTACGGCATGTTCTAGATTGATCTGTATGCGCAAAGTGACCTGAAGAAAGGCCTGCAGCTCTTCGGGACTGAAGGAAACATCGGCCTGACCAACGCCTGGAGCATTGTCCAAACCGACGTACGCTTACTGCATTCCTTTCTGTAGTTATGATTATTTCCCAAGAACCAGTGGTGTAGCACTGTAAGATATGATTGAGTGTCTTGAAGGAAGGACACGTGAAGATGGTGTGTGTGTGTCTGTTTGTCTGTGTGTGTGTGTGTCTCTGTGTGTGTGCCGTAGTTTCGCTGCTGTGGAGTGACCAATCACACGGACTGGTTTCACTTGTATAACGCGACGCGTGTGCCGGACTCCTGCTGTCTGGAGTACAGTGATAACTGCGGTCTGGAGAATCCTGGCACCTGGTGGACAGCGGTAAGAAGCTTCATAAGCTTTGGCCTCTGAAGAGCACAGAGAACGGTTTGGCAATGCTCTTCTGTCTCCTGTGGTAATGTATTTTCCGAGTGAAACGGACAGAAAGAAAGTCTTGAGTAAATGTTGTGTTGTCCATCTCTCTCTCTGTTTACTGACTGCTGTGGTTTGTGTCGACAGCCGTGTTACGAGCGAGTGAAGGGCTGGCTGCAGGAGAATCTGGTGGCTCTGTGGATCTTCGCTCTGTGTACGGCTCTAACACAGGTACTGAACGCTCACATCACAGCAGTCCATACACGAGAGCTCAGTGGTGATCATCGTTACGTGTGTTTGCAGATCCTGGGGCTGGTGTTCTCCATGACCATATTCTGTCACGCCGTGAAAGTGGAGACCTTCTACGCATAGAGACGCGGAACCGGACCAAACACATTCCTGCTTCTTCATCGCACACTTCTGTAGCAATCAGTCGTCACGTTTCGCTAACACACTGCTATTTTTCAACATGATTTTATAATCCAAATCAACTGAAAGAATGAAACCGGCTCTTTATTGTGAATATCTAATGGACAGTTTATTTCTTGGTCCATTTGTGAAGAAAATACAGCAATTTTAAAGAGGGAGACCAGTAACTAATTTTATATTTGTATAATTTCATATTAATACGTGTGAAATGAACAACCGCTGTTTATATTTATTCAGAGCGAGTTCTCAATAGATTTAAAAGGTAAGATTTTAGATCACATTTTTATATATTTGACTTATTTGGCATAGTCTTTAAAACAAAAAGTAATAAAACAGACACACAGGAAGTCTGTTCAGCAGAGCTGATTCAGTAAAAGAGCAAAAGCACAGATTAACGTTGTGGGATTGATTGTGGGCTCAAGAACTGAACACAATGCGTGTCATTTCTGTGCCACCAAAACAGAATAAAATGTCCAAACAAATCTTTAAAGGGGTTGTAAACTGAGAAACTAAAATTCCCTTTATATTTTGACATAAGAGGTCATTGTACTATTAAAAACTATTAAAAACTATGATGTAATAGTGTGGATAAACCTCGCCTCCACAGAAGATTAGCAGCGGCTGCTTGTAGGTCGCTGCCCGTTTAGCCCCCGCCCACCGATTCTACGTCGCTGCCCGTTTAGCCCCCGCCCACCGATTCTACATCGCTGCCCCCTTAAGCCCCGCCCACCGATTCTACGTCCCTGCCTGTTTGGCCCCCGCCCACCGATTCTACGTCCCTGCCGGTCTGGCCCCCGCCCCCCGATTCTATCTTTAACCCCGCCCACCGATTCTACGTCGCTGCCGGTTTAACCCCGCCCACCGATTCTACGTCGCTGCCTCTTTAACCCCGCCCACCGATTCTACAGTGCTATCAGTTTAGCCTCCGCCCACCGATTCTTCGTCGCTGCCCGTTTAACCCCCGCCCACCGATTCTTCGTCGCTGCCTCTAACCCCGCCCACCGATTCTACGTCGCTGCCCGTTTAACCCCCGCCCCCCATTCTACGGCGCTGCCCGTTTAGCCCCGCCCACCGATTCTTACGGCGCTACCAGTTTAGCCTCCGCCCACCGATTCTACGTCGCTGCCCGTTTAACCCCCGCCCACCGATTCTACGTCGCTGCCTCTTTAACCCCGCCCACAGATTCTACGTCGCTGCCTGTTTAACCCCGCCCACCCATTCTACGTCGCTGCCTCTTTAACCCCGCCCACCGATTCTACGTCGCTGCCTGTTTACCCCCGCCCACCGATTCTACATAACTGCCGGTTTAGCCCCGCCCACTGATTTGCATATGTAGTGTTTACGAGAGAGGGAAACCAAAAGATAATGATGCTCTGAAGACAACAAGACGCTGTGCGGTGCCAAGCTGGGGAAAAACAGTTTGCTTTGTCTTCCTTCTGATCCCAACATTAGGAAAGAGTGAATTAACTTTATTTTTAATGAAGATCCAGACCGCATCAGTGAGAACTCTGTCCTTTGTTCACTTCATTTTAGTTTCGATTCAAACTAGATTTGAAGATTCGTTTACAAACAAGGCACAATTCAACACGGGATTTTCAGAAAGTTTGAAACTAAAAGACTATATTGCGATTATATTGGATCCGACAGTAATGTCGCAACACAACTGTGAGTAACTGTTTTCATTATGTGATCATTATTGCTTTGTTTATTATTACAGATCGTTTTACATGAGCTGAGTATTTATACGTTTTTAACCTAAATCACAGCAGCATCCATCTGTGAGGAATGTAGACTGTCAATCACACACAACTATTAGCCAATCACAGCAGTGGGTGTTTACTCTACAGTCCTCCACACCACACCTACTCAAACAGCTTTCTGATGAGACAGCAAATAGCCTATCACTTCTAAATTATTATGTTTTTTTGGTGTAAAAATCTTGATAACATTATAAGTGGACCTCACAGAACAGTACAAAATAACAAACAGAGGCAGTTCATGATCCCTTTAAAGCTCAATCGACCCAAACAGATCCACCGCAAACTCACGGTCGAGTCTCTAATATCTTCATTTTTAACACTATTTGTATAGTTTTATCATTTTGAAACTAACAAGCTTCTTTTTGTGAAATGTTTCCCTTGAAAATGATGGAAGCGTTTAACTGAATTCAATTTGAAATGAAAAATGTAAAATGTCAATGTATTCCTGTATTTGGATTTACATTTCCTATAGCTATGAGACATAATGGGAATAAATATGTACAAAATTGAGAAGAATTCATTTATGTAATTTTCCTTTGCCATTTCCAACACTACAGTACTGCTAGCGTTATATATCGAACTGAACGCGTTACGATTTCATTTGTAAATGCAGTAAGGGCAGCAACACTATTGTTCCAAAGTCTTTACACTTTAATTATAAGTTATATTTTCATGATATTTCAGGAAGAATGTAACAGAATTCAGTGGCTTAGAGAAGCCAACGTGACAGTATGAACTGCACACCTGTCCATCACTGCATCAAGGCGGAGCTTCTCTTAATTACAGTCAGAATATTTACAGTCACAGTGAGTTTGGGTTTAGGATGAACGTCTGGCTCAGGGCTGTTTTTGCCAGGTCTGCTGATGATTGAGCCGACAGTCCGTGTGCATTACGGCGCTGAAGCACAGGCGTGACGGATGAGACAATCTCATTCTGTGCACTGAAAGAGTAAAGCACACAGCATCACTCCCCATTCATCAAACATGACCATACGCACACATGATTGAAACACAGTTTATATTTTATCAGAGACATGCACACACTAAGATCTGTTTCTGTCAGAAATGTCTGAGTGAATCTGATGAGTGATTCATTCAGTTACTTCTAACAAAATGACTGATCGCCACCTACTGGTGTAATGATGTACTCCTGTATCTACAGAAAGAGACACTGAGCGAATCCCTTCGGTCAACTGATTCAAACGGTTTGACTCACTGGGACATTTACTAACCTCGCTGAGATTGGATTGGTCTGAAGGAATTATTAAATATCTTCCATCCATCCATCTTCCCATCATTTGTCCTCTGTAGGGTGTGGGATGCTGGATCTGATCTCAGCGTCTCAAAAACACACTGGACAGATGGCAACCAAACACTGGATGAACTGTTCTGATGTGATACTGAGGCTCGACAGACCAGCTGTGTCAGAAAGCTCGATCACTCCTCGTGCAACTACAATACTAACTTCTCACGAGAAATTAAGATCAAAAGTTGAAAACGTTGTCCAGAAACATGCATTTCACGCTCAGCTGCAACGTCATCTTTCAGCAATGGTCACGGCACGGAAATCACAAGCAGTGAAGGACATACTGCCTTCATAAATCCATTAGACGAAAGCATTTCAGCGGCCGGATGTGACGCGATCACTGGGTTCAGATGTGTCTTACTGCAGATTCAGCATTCATGCAAGACTCTCTGTGTTTATATTCTCTGGGCGCCTTTTGCCATTTGGTGTAATTCGAATTGAATTTTGCTAACAAAATGAGTTCATGTGTGCTTGTGCCCTCTTTAAATAAATGACACTTGCTTTATCTTCTGCAATGACATTCTCATGTTCTCAGTGTCAATTGTGTCCTGATGCTTTTGGGGCCACTATATGTTTACACACTTTCTGTATGTTCAGATCTGTAAATATATACCCACTACAGCAAAATGTAAGTGATGCAAAAAACAAAACTAATGCACAGATTATTGATCAGACAAGTCTGGTCAATCAAGAGAATCTCACTGAACAAGTGAATGTTCAGAACAGACACTAATGTACGGTTACTGCTGTCACAGCATACACTATGAAGCAGATTGTCTGTGTGCAATAACCAGATGCAATACTGAGTCGACATTGCACTTTCACAGCCATAACCACTACTAGCTCAATCATGTCTCCCCTTCGATGAAATAATGTTTCAGGGAGACCAGTGGACTTCACAAAAGCCCACAGCGAGAGTGTAAATCAACCCTGATAAACACTGATGTGCAAAATAATGAGGTCATGTGACAAAGTAACAGTACTGTTTGAAACACTTATTACTGGTTAATGTTTTCGGTTTCAAATACTATTTATTTTATTAGTAAGTATACAGTATGTAAGGTATATATTCAGTCTGTAGTTCTTTTCGTTTTCCACTAAAAGTGAACATTGTAAATGTCCTACCGTAAATATATCAAAACTTAATGTTTGATTAGTAATATGCATTGCTAAGAACTTCATCTGAACAACTTTAAAGATGATTTTCTCAATATTTAGATTTTTATGCTCCCTCAGATTCCAGATTTTCAAATAGTTGTATCTCAACCAGATACTGTCCTATCCTAACAAACCATACATCAATGGAAAGATTATTTATACATAAATCTGAAACGACTGGTTTTGTGGTTCAGGGTCATATATACACATACATATATACATACATACATACACAAACACATTCATAAATGCATAGATACACACACACACACACACGAATGATGATTTGGCTCCATACAATACGCCTCTGTCTTTCTTCCATTCTCTGATCAATAATTCATCCTGATTTCTCTTCCTCTGCAATAAAACACCCACACAATCTCATGACAACAGTGTGAAAGACACTCGCTTTAATCTAGTCATGATATGAGAAAATATTTCACTCTAGTTCATAAATCTCTAGTTTGGAGACAAAGTTGAGACCCAGGTCGATTGCATATAGCAGTGCGTTTATATGAAACACCTGAATGTGAAAAATCCTCTTTTACTGCAATTACAATATTTAATATGATTCCTAATCAAGAAAGATGAATCAAGAGTGTAATTTTGCTAGTCATCAACAGAATGGAGCACTGTCTGTTGAAAATATCTCAGCAGGAGCATCTTTAATCGAATCAATCACGCTGCTGTAAAACATCAGCAGATGGACCTGAGAAATCAAACACTGCAGCAGCGCCTCAATCTAAAACATCAGAGCCACAATAACTCCACACGGACAGATGCATTCGTCCTTTCTCTCGCCTGTCTGTCTCAAGCTGCTTCTGCTTCAGTAGCTTTTCTGCGTTCAATCCGCTCCACTTCTTTGCCACTGGCACACAAATAACACCCAATGATCCTTAAACTCTTTTCAAATGTACTGTAGTCCGTTTAAGAAAGACCCATCTTAGAATAGAACTATATGTCGTTTAGTTACATGTTCAACTTAGTTTTGAAACAGCAGCAATGTTTGTGGAGTTTCCCATCAAACTGAAGAGTTGCAGTGGACTTAAGTACAAGTTCAGAGTTCAGATTTGACAAAACATGCAAGAACATTTTCATGAAGAATTGAAGCGTATGTTATGCAGTTTCTGGTTCACGAGTCTGAACAACAGATCAGATAATGAGGTTCACAACTGAAGCAGATGCATCTTTATGTTTGAATCAATGGAACTGAGAGAGTTGAATATTTATTTAGTGATGTGTGACAGGACATAGTAATACAGCTGGAACATCTTAAATGTGTTTAGATGATCACAAACATGATGACCAGTGACTGACTAATAAAGTCCAGGCACCTTTTCTTGCTGAATGTGTGTGAGTGTGAGTGTGTGTGTGTGTGTGTGTGTGTGTGTGTGTGTGTGTGTGAGAGTGTGTGTGAGTGTGAGTGTGTGAGTGGGTGAGTGAGTGAGTGAGTGAGTGAGTGAGTGAGTGAGTGAGTGGAGTGTGAGTGTGTGTGTGAGTGAGTGAGTGCGTGAGTGGAGTGTGAGTGTGAGTGAGTGAGTGAGTGTGTGTGTGAGTGAGTGAGTGCGTGAGTGGAGTGTGAGTGTGAGTGTGAGTGAGTGAGTGTGTGTGAGTGAGTGAGTGAGTTTGTGAGTGCGTGCAAGAGTGTGTGTGAGTGAGTGTGCGTGAGTGGAGTGTGAGTGTGAGTGAGTGAGTGTGTGTGAGTGAGTGAGTTTGTGAGTGCGTGTGAGTGAGTGAGTGTGCATGTGTGAGAGTGAGTGTGTGTGTTTGTGAGTGCGTGAGTTTGTGAGTGCGTGCGTGAGTGTTTGTGAGTGCGTGCGTGAGCGTGTGTGAGTGAGTTTGTGTGTGAGTGCGTGTGAGTTTGTGAGTGCGTGTGTGTGAGTGTGAGTGTGTGTGTGAGAGTGAGTGTGTGTTTGTGAGTGCGTGCGTGCAAGAGTGTGTGTGAGTGAGTGTGCGTGTTTGTGAGTGCGTGTGAGTGAGTTTGTGAGTGCGTGCATGAGTGTGTGTGAGTGAGTTTGTGTGTGAGTGAGTGCGTGTGAGTTTGTGTGTGAGTGTGTGTTTGTGAGTGCGTGTGTGTGTGTGAGTGTGCGTGTGAGTGTGTGTGTGAGTGAGAATGTGCGTGAGTGAGTGTGCGAGTGAGTGTGAGAGTGGGTGAGTGTGTGTGTGTGCGTGTGAGTGAGTGTGTGTGAGTGCGTGAGAGTGTGCATGTGTGAGTGTTCTTGTTCACAGTGTAATCAGCTGATTCAAAGGTTTCTCGTTCACGAATCAACTCATGAATATGAGTGTCATTTAAAAACTATACTGCATAAACATATATCAGAGCATTAGAAGCCATAATGAACAAACTGAACATTATAGGAAAATAGTTTCTTTAGCAATGATGCGTGATATTTACAGCGTTATAATGAAATGAATGTATTTACCTGGTCTGAAGCTCACTGATGGTCTGCACGATTACAGAAGACTTGCTCAAGATGAAAACATTTGCTGTATGATGTGTATGATGGCAGGAATCAAGAGGTTTTGTGCCTCATCTTGCTTGACAGAACAGGAATCCATCATCAGTCCTCATGGCGGGTTCATGCTGAACTGAAGAAATTACACAGATCTTTCCCAAGACCATCAAGATTTCAAAGACCCAAGATGTTCAGTGCACTGGGTCAAAATCAAGCTCCAAACAGGAGGAACCTAATCATCACGAGCCTATATGAGCATCTAAGCAGCTCTCATTGGCAGTCAGTTCGTCTGCGTCCCTCCACCTCCCCATCTCCTCCTGTGTTTCTCTTATTCTCCCTCTATAGGCAGTAGCGCAATGGGGAGCTCAGGCTGAGTCTCGGGTTCGAGTCTCCATCGAGGACAGAAAGTTTGTTTCCCAATAACCATCAGGACTAGATGGACAGGCGAACTCATGAAATTACTAAAAGAAGCTTTTATTACTGCATGCACTTTCATCAAGGCTGATTTGTGTCCGTGTGTGATCTGCAGGACGATGAACTTCATTCTGCTGAGTATCTACTGCAGTGTCTGAACATTTACAGACCAGAAACATGACGAGAGAGACCGTTCTGCCAGAGCAGGAACCAGTGCCTAAAACTTCCCACCAACAGCACACATTTCCCTGATTAAACACAGCTGATTCAGCTCTTCCACTCGTTAACCTCAAACAGAAGGGTCAGAGAGGATAGAAACAAAATGTGTTCTGCTCGTTACCCAAATAAACCCGGCTGTGGATTGTCAAGTATGACTTGTCTGCTTCAAACTATCTACAGACGGACACTTCACCGGTCCTGGTTTGTCAGGAATTTTGGAAAACGAACAAAAGCTTTAAAAAAACATAAAAATAAATAATATTCATAAGAGCTGACACCAAGCACAATAAGTTGTTTAATGTATTAATGACTCATATTCTTTCAATCAAGCGTGCACTTATGATTATATTAAGTGGATCAGGACAGACATGAGTGCTAAACTGCGGTTTCTTGTCTCTCATATCGCTCTCTTGCTTCTCCTAATTAAATAATGCACTCAATATTTCATGTCCATTGATTTATGTATGAAGTAAGCAGTCATGTAATACACAGGATGATGTACAGTCCGGCTCTGACTTGAGCTGTCTGGGTTTAGTGCACATTATCCAGACACGCTCAATAGCAGCGGCATACAGCAGAGGAGATAATATGACTCCATTCATCTCTCATGTAATGTGCAGCTCTTATTAGAAGACCACACACAGACTTGATAAAACACAACAGGCCCAAAGTACTGAAGGAAACTTTATTAAAATAAATGAACGAACAGAGAGACACCACACTGATAAACGCTTCACTAAAGCTATTGCGGATCGGTGCTGGCAGAATCTTCATCTGGAGGCTCAGGACAAGCACATGAAGACGAGAGTGTGTGAGCGTGACTGAACTCTATTCAGGTGGAGTGAAACACACACACTCTGATGTAGGTGTAGTTATGTACAGATGTGTGACGCTCGCGGTTAGTGGATCCGCGTCAGCTCCTCCACGATTTTAATAACCTCGTCCACCGTTGCCTCGCGCTTCATCCCGCTGCCGTCATCCATCTGCAGCGCGCACACACACACACACACACACACACACACACACACACACACACACACACACACACACGAACACGAGCGAATGAAGACAGATGTAGTTCACACAAGCGCACTGCAGCATCGCGTGCTTCTCTCATTAGCATCTGCTGCAGAACCATCTTTGTAGCGGGGAAGGGGGTATTTTTATTACAATTAAATAATCTTTTAAATGAAAACATCAATCTTCGGTGAACTTTAACTCGGGGTTTCCAGCCCTGTTTCTGAGGCACAACAGCAGTAAAACACTGGAGGAATCCAGCGATCGCATCACTTCCTGTCTGCTGACACCTTCTTCTGATGGATTCATGAGGGCAGCACTGATGTACAGATGTTCATATTTAACAGTCAGAATTACGCAGGTCACAGCATTATAGACGGGCAACTTTCATACTTTTATATAAGGGCAAGATTTTTCAACTCCGCTTCTGTAAAATGAAGAATTTTCTGCTTTGTTCTTATTCATTTTAATCAACAAATATTCTGTAAATCTAATGAAGGCCTATATATGATTGTCAAAGGCGACTCAAACTCAAATCCAGCGTTTCCACAAACGCTATCTGTACTGCCATGACATGGAACACTCCTATGATATCCCACAATCCTTTACATGCAATTATATGAAAATTGAGCTGAATAAAAGGTGTCTAAAAATTGCAGTTGGCTGTCAGTTTGCATATAGATGTTGGATTTTGCCCTTTTTTTTAACATTTGACTTGATGTCTAGTGAGAAATCAGTATTGTGGTAATAATTCAATATTCTCTTTGGACAGAGCCATTTTTTTAACCCTTCTTATCCAAATACACCTGCCAGAGACGGGTCAGACGAGTAAAACACGGCTCCAGAAAGAGCGCCGGGAGACACAGCTTTAACTGCTCATCACCGTATGATACGACAGACGATTCGCGAGCGCAAACCTTCATCAGAGCATGAATCGTGAAGAAACACAAGCACATGATCACCTGCAGAGTGCTGACCACCTCCTGCATCTTCGCTCGACCCAGATCCAGGAAGCTCTCGATCAGATCTCCATCAATGAACCCTGTGGCCTGCTCAGTCTTACGCTCCGTGTGGAACGACCTCCAGGTGACACTAGTCAAGGACTTCAACACACAGAGTTCCTGCCAGAGTTATTACTCTCACACACACACACACGCACTCTCACACACACACACACTCACACGCACTCTCACACACACACACACACTCACTCACTCTCACACACACACACTCACTCTCACACACACACACTCACTCTCACACACACACACTCACTCTCACACACACACACTCACACACTCACTCACTCACTCACTCACTCACTCACTCTCACACACACTCACTCACTCACTCACTCTCACACACCTCTGACCGCTGCTGAAGGATATAAGCTGTGCTCGATCTTGCCGACGCTCTTGATGACTTTGTTGAGTCGGTTCTGTAGATCCAGCAGTAAACTGTACCAGCCCTCCGACAGCGACGTCACCAAACCTCAAACACACAACAAATCATCATCAAAACTCACATTTACACAACCAACATCACAGTACTGACATCAAGGTAGATCATAATGCAGTTTATCTGTAAATTCAGCTGAGTATCTCTGTAAATCTTACACAGATAGATTTACCTCAGATCTTGAAAATAAATTAAAGCAAACATGTACGTTAAAACTGTGAATTTACTGCTAACCGACGAGTGTATTCCATAAAAAAAGATGGTATCAGTCACTCAGTTTGTACATTTAAAAAGGTTAAATATTTATGAGTTAGATTATAAACTTCTGATTGATTGTGGACACAGATCGCTTGTCGCGTCGCGTGGAGTCAGGACACGGTGTTACAAAGGAAAGCTGCTTCAGATTCTTCATAACGAGTCTGATATGAACGCAAAACAGCTCCACAGCTAACAACTAAACTCTGCTTCACCTCATTCCTGACAAACAGCTCTTGATAGCACTGTATTTGGACACGTCTCGCTCGGTTTCTTCATCTCTCACACATGTAAATCAGTCCTCACAGATACAGCAGAACAGTTCGGTCTCGCGGCCGGCCGCTGAAGCAGGCTGAACAATGACAGTATGACGGCGTTACAGGACTGCTGTGCGAGTGAACGGACAGAAGCTCACCGATCATGCCGTTGACTGTGCCGAACAGCACCGAGCCCTGTGTCGGCGTCGAGCTCTCGCCCAGATTCTGCAGCACCAGAGATCCGTGTGAAAACACGTTGACAAACTCTCCCAGGTGGAACAGACCCACCTCCTGCAGGTGCTGCCGCTCCTCGTCTGTAGTCGCCGCGCTGGAGGACACACAACCCAACAACCCTCAACGACTCTCACTTCCCTTAAAGCGTTAGTTCTCACAAAAATAGCCCATGATTGACTCGAGGCATCCTAGGTGTGTTTGACTTTCTTCTTTCAGATGAATCCAATCGGAGTTATATTTAAAAACATCCTGGCTCTTCCAAGCTTTATAATGGCAGTGAACGGCTGTTATTTTTCAGTAGTTCAAAAGAAGTCCAATAAAGCACATCCATCCATAGTAAAAAGTGCCACACACCATTATTTATATAGTGCTTATTACAACGCAGATTGTGTCAAAGCAGCTTTACAGTATGAAACAGGGAGATAGTGTCGTTCTCCTCTGGCCAGACGAGACCAGCGGTTTAATTCTAGGCGGCAGCAGAGTCAGATCTGTTGCAGCTCCGGTGAGAACAGGCTAGTCTCGCGAGAACAGCGTTTGTTTACATCAGCAAAGGAAGCAAAGTTTTCTTATATCTCCTCTTGGCTTATATCAAAATCCTCCTACATTTTCCTTTATATTCTTGTTTTGTACTTCTAATTCGTGACCAGCGTATTGTTTTGCTCTCTCCTCTGCGTTTGTCACTTTTCACCGGAGCTAACACTACGCCGACGTCCTACATCATCCGCCGAAACGCCGTTCTATTGTGAACGTACAAGTTAGTGGAAGCTAGAGATTACGGTTTATAACGTTTTAAATATGGATATTTTTCTTACAAAAGCGCATTGATTTGCTACAGGAGGCCTTTATTCACCCCGGAGCCGTGTGAGGCACTGTTTATTATGGAAGGATGCGCTTTATTGGATAATAATAACAGCCATTCACTGCCATTATAAAACTTGGAAGAGCCAGAACGTTTTTAAATATAACTCCGATTGGATTCATCTGAAAGAAGAAAGTCATATACACCTAAGATGCCTTGAGGGTGAGTCAATCATGGGGTAATTTTCATTTTTGGGGGAACTGTCCCTTTAAGGCACATCAGTGTATGCAGTGAATGAAGCACAGCTTCAGATGTCACTCTCAATCCAAGCAGCTTTCTGCTGCTCAACATGACGAACTGGAGCTATCAACCAGATGTGAAATCTTCTCCCTCATGCAAAATTCACGATCACGTGGATTACGACTGAACCAGGATTTCACCGATCACACTTTCCCACTCGATCCATTACCTGTCCTTCTGGCAGACGAACAGATTGAAAGCGTTCTCCGCTCCGAGGAAGTTGTCATCATCCAGGATTTCTACAGCACTCATCCAGTTGGGATTGAAATCACGAGCAATCTAATGAAATGAAAACAGCAAGAGGAAATTAAGAACCACAACAGCTTCTTACAACTAGAAACGACGCATGAATCCCAGAATTCCCGGCGGCAGCCGTCACCTCCTCGAAGCTGCCCTCCATGGGTTTATAGGCCAGCAGCAGCACGGAGCGCATCAGGTCGCCCACCAGGATGAAGTCACCTTTAGTCTTCAGATACAGGGCCATGATGTTATTATAGTGATTACACTCCGTCCTCAGCTCTTTCTCTGCCGTCCACTCGTACAGACGCACCTGTCGAGACACAGACGTCAGCGCCGCACAGGAAACCCATTACACTGAACAGCATGATGGGAGGAAACTCACGGTGCTGTTGATGCTGGCTAGCAGTTTACCATTAAACTCCACCATGGAGTAAACCGCACCTTTAACCTCCTTCTCTGCCACCGTCTGCAGTTTGCCTGGAAACACAGAAAACCAGAAACACCCCATGATTCAACACACACACGTATGTGGAACATCAAGTAGTTTTATTTTATTGTGAAATGGTCAAAGCTTGAAGAGACTTCTTAAGTGTTGCTCCAGGTTCACACGTGCTCCGTCTGCAGTGCGTATACAGTATGTGTATGCGGTGCAGAAGCAGCACGGACTCAATGTGTTTCGCACAGGATGCGTTTGCAGTCCGCTCCTGATCTGCGGCGGTTTACCACAAACACAACATTTATCCATTATTTTGATTTCAAATCCAAACGTTGTTTCTGAACATGCTTTCTCAGCATTGTGATTCCCTTTTATCACAGTACAGTAATACAATCTTTCATAGACATATTCACGTTTAAATGCAATAAATATAACTTTGTTTAACTACCACCACGAGTGCCATCTATTATTGCCTTGTTTATCTAAAAGTGCACTTTTCCTTGTTTTAAATCTAGCCAAAAAGCCACGTGTTGACTGTGAAACAGTAGACTTTTATTGGTGTAATTACTACATTTCCGTGTCAATCCGTGTTAAGTTTTACCGCGATTAATGCGCTGTTACTTTAATTCAGCGCGTGCAGCACAGCAGAAATAGACTCCGTGCGGAAATGATCGCAGCATGTCTACTGCAGACGCACCGCTCCTGTAGCGCACTGCCGGACCGCACTCGCGTGCAGTGTGAACGCTCTGATCCGTTAACATGGGCGCGGACAAAATACACACCACAGATGGAGTGTGTGAACCTGGTGTTACGTTTGTATGCTCGCCCGGTCTGTTCTGTTCTCTTCTCGTGCTCCATTTAGGCGCGCTGCATTCTGATTGGTTCGGATAGCGTACTGCGGGAGGTCGTGGGCGCGGAAAATCGTGCTATAAAGCGATTTAGAAATCATGCGTGCTCAAATCGCGATTTTATGATGATTTCGATTAATCACACAGCCCTAGTCTTTGAGCAGTTTTGTTTATATGAATATGAAATGGTAAAAGTTTGAGGAGACTCAAAGTATGCTTCGGTTTTGAGACGAGCTGTTCTAATGATGAGGATGAAACCTGCATCACACACACTGCATGTATACTCTAGCGGATGTGTAAAAAACAAAGTACACTCATCATTGAAATAGCCACAATGTTTGTAGAAACACCTAGAGAAACATTTAATAACTTTGTGGAAAATAATCAGGGGTGTGTGTGACGGTCCGCACGGCTGCTGTGGTCCCGCTGGTGTCCTGCATTTCTACTCTACTGGACAAAACTCCGAAACACTGAGACACCTCCTGATAGCAGATCCGCCTGCAACGACACACACCATCACTGACTGAGTCTGCTGATTATTAACTAAATACTCCCATCGCTTTAGCCGGCAAAAGCGAATTAAATCATGAATATCAGCAGTTTGAACATGGTTTTATTTGGCCTTTACAATGTCTCATTAGATGACTCCGCAGCGGTTTAACCCTCAGAGAGACAAGCATGTTTTTAATAAGTTCCTGCGAATGACACCGGCCACTAAATAAAAGCTGACGGGCTGGATTTATTAGAAATAGAGCAGCACTGAAAAAAGACAGCATGCTTGTCATCGTGCTGTACTTTAACACACAATCATGCATCTGTAGTGCACATCATCTTTACTTTAAAGTAAATGCACGATTCTCATGACATCATACTCCAGCATTTCAAGGGCGCGTGTGTGTGTAGTGAGCATGAATTAAATGCAACAGCTCCAGTCAGCTTTCGCTCTCATAATTACACAATGACACCTGATAAGCTTGATCTAATAAATGATTAACTGTAATTAGCGATTAATCATCGACATCCCTGGTTTAGTGCAGCGATAAGTCTTTCCAGCAAAGCTAAGAGCTGCCGTCTGGATGTGCTCCTGTCGGAGGACACACTCACTTGGGCGACTCGTAGAGAGGAACGGTTCGGATGTGGAGCTTCTGGATCTCATCGATAGTGCCGATGGTCAGAGTGCTGTTGTTGGCCAGAGCCAGACTGTGACAGAAGGAAGAGGAAATCAAAGTCACCGCTCCATCTTTCACTACAGATGTGTTTGCTGATAAGAACAGGCCTGATCTTTCTCATGTCGTACCTGTCGGGGTATCCCTCAGAGTTGAGTGGGCACATGTAGTTGACCTCCTTCAGGTTGACGTTAGAGAAGACCAGTTTGTGGTTGCTGGAGTAGATGACGGTGGGCCGGTCGGAGCAGGCGAACACATTAGATGTGGAGAGCGAGCGGAAGGTGCGCAGAACCGTGGGCTGAGTGCCCAGAGTCACCTTCTTACGCTCACTCAAAACCCCTGCACAGAACGACATGCCACATCAGACACTAAGAGCTTAGGGTGTGACAATGGAATTTAAGCCTCTTAAAACTCAATTAAATTTGAATTTTGAAACAAAACATATGCATTACTTCATTCAATCTCTAGTATTTCTTACCCGAGTAAAAAGAGCTAGATATGCCTGAAAACCTTGAAGCACTCTTTAATTTACTTGCGCTATTGCGTGTAATTTGTTTACTTGTTCTTATTTTATTACTGTTTAATAATAATAAAATTTTATTACGTCTTTAATGACGTTTGAGCTATATTAGTTTTTGCTGTGGTATCAAAATTAGAATCAAGAATTGTGAAATTGGTAACTGGTAACTCAAATGCTGGTATCACACCAATCTTATGGAGCTTTTCCACCGTGTGGTACAGCTCGGCTGGGCTTGCGTTCCCACTGCAGTTTAGTACCACTTTAGAGTGGGCAGGATCATACACATCACCCCATCAAGCTTCTCGGCGGTCAACGAGAGGAACGTCTGTACTTCCTCAACACACCACCAAACAGCCATTTTTTGGTTGTTAAAAAAGGTGCACTCGTTCAAAACAGTTGTATTTGTTCAAAAGACAGTTGCGTTTGATCCTTCGCTGGCTGTGATGATTTTAATCTAGCGGCTCTGGTGTCTCGTGTCCAAAAGTTCAAAACCCCCCAAAAGTGAGCCAAACCGAATCGTACCGTACCATGCAGTGGAAAAGCACCATTATATCACAATAAAAGTTTACATGGATCCAAAACATTTTTGTGGTGAGGTTAGTGGAAAATTTCAACAGGACAAGAAAAACCGGAACCTCTATAGAAAAAAAATAATTGAATCCTGCAACAAACATTTGACTGTTTATCAAATGTGTTCTAATGAATCATTCACAAGCCAGAAACATGTTAATAAAGTAAACAGTCCATTAGGTGTCATGTTGTCAAAGTGCTCAGAGGAACCGATGGAGTAGATGGTTGTTAACCATGTGTGTGTGAGTGTGTGTGTGAGAGCATGTGTGTGTGTTGCTTTCACCTGTCTGAATGTCCAGTCCGAAATAGAAAAGCGCCCCGTCTCCCAGCGCACACAGCAGGTAATGACTGCCCTCAAACGTGGTCATGAGGATGGAGCGAGGGATGATCTCTGCAGGACACACGATCAGCGGTCAGTGAGAGACATGTGACATGCTCTTCAGCTCAGCAAACACATTCATGCTTCAGACGCTCTTCAGATTCATTCACCAAACGGCACCAAAACAACAGCACTGCCTTTCACAACACGCTGTGAATCTATAATCTCACATAGGAAACGGAGTACCAACATTATTCAGATGTTTACATTATGCACATTTTAAGGCTCACTTACACTAACTATATCCAGCATTAACCCTGAGCACAGCAGAAATACATTCCCACGGCACACTTCATGACCGTCTGATGCTAAGGCTTCTCCAGACACTTTCATTCATTAATCATACACAGCAACAGAAATATCTTTCAATCAAAAGTGACAGTTAATTCAATTATTAATAAAAGTACCGTTAAATAAGTAAGCTAAATAAGTGCCGTTACCTTTATAACATGCATCTCAAGAGCTGCAAAGGGTAAAGATGCAGGAATAAGCACTGCTCTGATACGCCTCACTAGGACTATAGGATATAAAGTGTGCATTCCTCAAGCTCCTGATATATGTGGAGATATTTTAAACACTCGAATTGATCATTTGAGCTAAACAACAACTGTAGCTGCGTGTTCTCCAGCGAGTGAACTCTAGCCAGCTCATGATGGCGTGGTTTGTCTTGATTTCTCTGTCTGTATGAACGTGACCTAGATAGGTGTCTTTGACCACAGCGACATGCTGAAAGAGGATCAGCTCCAGACCTGAAGACTGTTTCAGAGCGCAAGAACATGTCCCGCGTGACACCATACATAGCCATTACCATTAGCCTGAGTGCTGCAGTGTGGCTCTCGCACTCTCGCACTATGTTTTTTGTTTGAAATGTCTCAAAGACTTCAGCTTGAGTTTGGGAAAAGTGCTTTATAAAATCTTCTTATACAAAGGTGAATATATAGAAATAAAGTGCGAAGGAAAGAGAAAGTGTGTTGTTCAAGCTTCTCTCTGGGGAATGTTTTCACAGCACCTCTGTGTGTGTGTAGTGTCATGAACATGAGTGTCTGTGTGTGAGTGAGTGAGTGAGTGTGGCTCTGTGTGTGAGTGAGTGAGTGAGTGTGGCTCTGTGTATGAGTAAGTGAGTGAGTGTGGCTCTGTGAGTGAGTGAGTGAGTGTGGCTCTGTGTGTGTGTGAGTGAGTGAGTGTGGCTCTGTGTGTGAGTGAGTGAGGCTCTGTGTGTGTGTGAGTGAGTGTCTCTGTGAGTGAGTGAGTGTCTCTGTGAGTGAGTGAGGCTCTGTGAGTGAGTGAGTGTGGCTCTGTGTGTGAGTGAGTGAGTGTGGGTGGCTCTGTGAGTGAGTGAGTGAGTGTGGCTCTGTGTATGAGTAAGTGAGTGAGTGTGGCTCTGTGAGTGAGTGTGTGAGTGAGGCTCTGTGTGTGAGTGAGGCTCTGTGTGTGAGTGAGTGAGTGAGGCTCAGTGAGTGAGTGCGTCCCTGTGAGTGAGTGAGTGCGTCTCTGTGAGTGAGTGAGTGCGTCTCTGAGTGAGTGAGTGAGTGCGTCTCTGAGTGAGTGAGTGAGTGCGTCTCTGAGTGAGTGAGTGAGTGCGTCTCTGAGTGAGTGAGTGAGTGCGTCTCTGAGTGAGTGAGTGAGTGCGTCTCTGAGTGAGTGAGTGAGTGCGTCTCTGAGTGAGTGAGTGAGTGCGTCTCTGAGTGAGTGAGTGAGTGCGTCTCTGAGTGAGTGAGTGAGTGCGTCTCTGAGTGAGTGAGTGAGTGCGTCTCTGAGTGAGTGAGTGAGTGCGTCTCTGAGTGAGTGAGTGAGTGCGTCTCTGAGTGAGTGAGTGAGTGCGTCTGTGTGAGTGAGTGAGTGTGTGAGTGAGTGAGTGAGTGTGGCTCTGTGTGTGAGTGAATGCGTCTCTGTGAGTGAGTGAGTGCGTCGTGAGTAAGTCTCTGTGAGTGAGTGAGTGAGTGAGTGCATCTCTGTGAGTGAGTGAGTGAGTGAGTGCATCTCTGTGAGTGAGTGAGTGAGTGTCTGTGAGAGTGAGAGAGAGTGAGTGTGTCTCTGAGTGAGTGAGTGAGTGTGTCTCTGAGTGAGTGAGTGAGTGTGTCTCTGAGTGAGTGAGTGAGTGTGTCTCTGAGTGAGTGAGTGAGTGTGTCTCTGAGTGAGTGAGTGAGTGTGTCTCTGAGTGAGTGAGTGAGTGTGTCTCTGAGTGAGTGAGTGAGTGTGTGTGTGTGTGTATGTATGTATGTGTAGGGCAATAGAATATACGGTCTGTACAGTAGAAAAACCATTACGCCTATGGAGAGTCCCCACAAGGATAACAAACCAGACGTGTGTGTTTGTATCTCTGTTAGTGTGTGTCTCTGTCTGTCTGTGTGTGTGCGCGCGTGCATGCGTTCATGTCTCACCTCCGCCCAGCATCTCTTTGTGCAGCGGGCTGAAGCAGGGTAACTTGAGCAGGCGGGCTGAGATGTCGGTCCAGAGCCCCACAGCACAGATGCTGGACTCTCCTGCGCTCTCGCCCAGAGGAGTGATGTCCAGACACGCCACCTCATGCTCCATCTCTGTAGAGCTACACACACACACACCCCTCATCACAGTCACATCACAGCCGTTGAGTCAAGTGCCGTCCTGATCAAGGCTGGCACTGATGCTTCGAGTTTAAATTACACAATCATTAGTTCTGGTCTTTCTTTGCCTGCTCCAGCAGCGTTACAGGAGTGCAGATATAGATCACCGTTTCAGACAGACTGTCAGTCTGTGCTCATTAGTGCTGGGGATTTATCATCATTACACCAGTAGACTGTCCTAGAGTCACTGAATTATTCACACAATCAATTTGTTCAGAAACAATGATTAATTCAGGGTGTTTTTGTTTATGAATAAGACAGACATTTCCTTCAAGGTGTACATATGATCAGTTCATCCATTCCCCGAACACTAAACCCAAAGCATTCTGCTGTTATCACCACTTTCTACTGTCTGAGCTACAGAAACACTGCATGTTGCTTCAGTTGATTCGCCTTTGACTTAATCTGGAACTGTTTTTGTTGGCAAAATTCAGTCTGAAAAAGTTAGTCACATGAAGGTCTTGTTTATTGAAGTGTTGCATTAGTAATATCACACTCGCAGTCGTTTCTGTTGGTCTGAATATCAGCTGTTAGGGTTAGGTATTATCAGCTATCATTGCTGTTCATAAGCGCAGCGCTGCTTTGTTTACAGCGGTAACCAAGGAAACACTGTATCATTGCTGTTCATAAGCGCAGCGCTGCTTTGTTTACAGCGGTAACCAAGGAAACACTGTATCATTGCTGTTCATAAGCGCAGCTCTTCTTTGTTTACAGCGGTAACCAAGGAAACACTGTATCATTGCTGTTCATAAGCGCAGCGCTGCTGTGTTTACAGCAGTAACCAAGGAAACACTATCGTTGCTATTCATAAGCGCAACGCTGCTTTGTTTACAGCGGTAACCAAGGAAACACTGTATCGTTGCTATTCATAAGTGCAGCGCTGCTGTGTTTACAGCAGTAACCAAGGAAACACTGTATCATTGCTGTTCATGCGCAACAGCGGTAACCAAGGAAACACTGTATTGTTGCTATTCATAAGCGCAGCGCTGCTTTGTTTACAGCGGTAACCAAGGAAACACTGTATTGTTGCTATTCATAAGCGCAGCGCTGCTTTGTTTACAGCGGTAACCAAGGAAACACTGTATTGTTGCTATTCATAAGCGCAGCGCTGCTTTGTTTACAGCGGTAACCAAGGAAACACTGTATTGTTGCTATTCATAAGCGCAGCGCTGCTTTGTTTACAGCGGTAACCAAGGAAACACTGTATTGTTGCTATTCATAAGCGCAGCGCTGCTGGCAGAGAGTGAATCTGCATCTCGTTCAGCTCGTCTGCTGCTTTATTCAGATATGTTTAGTTTCACAAAACTAAAGTCAGACCATTCTGTTTTTGGTTCAAATTTCAAAATTATAGTCTAATTTAGATTAAAAACTGCTCGTGTTGCATGTATGCTGCATCTTTGTTTGGATCGTGATTAAAATGCAGTGGTTGCCTCTAATTTTAAATGGAAAGAGCACAGACAAGTGTGTGTGAGTGTGTCTCTCTGTGAGTGAGTGAGTGAATGAATGAGTGTGTGTGTCTCTCTCTGTGAGTGAGTGAGTGAATGAATGAGTGTGTGTGTCTCTCTCTGTGAGTGAGTGAGTGAATGAATGAGTGTGTGAGTGTGTGTCTCTGTGTGAGTGTTTCTCTGTGTGTGTGTGTGTCTCTCTGTGAGTGAGTGAGTGAGTGAGTGTGAGTGAGTGAATGTGTGTGAGTGTCTCTGTGAGTGTTTCTCTGTGTGTGTGAGAGGGTGAGTGAGCGAGTGAGTGAGTACCTGATCTGTTTGAGTTCTCCTGTGAGTATCTGAAGGTAATACAGCACTCGACCCACAGCCAGAACCACCTGAGAGCTGTTGCAGGACGCCACGCTGATGGTCTTGCCCTGAGGCTCCTTCCACTCGCTCACCAGAGCCTTGCTGTCCTGCGTGACCAGCCTCACAGACACCGACGTGATCTGAACACACACACACACACACACACACACACACACGTGAACACCACCACAGTACTCTGTGTGACTCTGTCTCTCTCTGTGTGTGTACACGCACCTGTATGAGCTGCTGATGCACTACATTCCCACAGAAGAACGTCTGCTGATTATCCACAAACCCCGGCAGCTCCGTCTCCTCCACGAGACACACACACACACACACACACACACACAGATGACAGTAGTGAGTAAGCGAGGTGTGTGTCAGCTCTAGACTGGAGTAAACCAAATGCTCTTCTCACCTGGTCTGACCAACAAATGACAGAACCAGCATGTCATCAGTGTCTCTGCCCGACTCGGAGCGGAGAGGCCACAGACCTGACAAACACACACACACACACACACACACACACACACACATTAGCATAAGTGTGTGTCAGAGACCTGCTGATAAAGCAAGGAAGGAAGCAATATTTCTTCAGTTTGTAGGAAATGGTTTCGATGTCAGAAAAGCTTTTGCCAAATGCATAAGTATGCTGCAGATCAGCAGCAACCGGCAGAACCACTCATTTAATCGGATATTTGCTACAGAGAAACCAAACTGAACAGCACAAAGTTACGCTACAAAAACCATTGCAACGGCTCCACCTAAAACTGCAAAAGATTACATGATGTTACAGTCGTCATTAAGCAGCAATCAATCTGTGGATTAGGTTTGACAGGAAGTTCAGCTCTCAGGAGACGTCACGAAACGGATTACTGAGGTGAAAAGTGCTGCAATGAGGTTTTAAATTAGATTTTTTAATTTAAATTATTGTACTGAATTAACTTGTTAAATTGAATGACTCAATAATACATAAAGCTGATACAGGAATTTTGGATGATGCTAATAACTGGTACGCAGTTCAATATATTTAAAGAAATTAAAGTGCCTTCATTTAACAATTTACCCGGCTGAAACATCAGCAGTACAGTACAGCAGGAAAAGGAAATGAGCACAAATATACTGTGCATTCACAGCATGTAAGCGGCTAGTGATTAACATGAAGAGCACTTAACCACACCTTTGATGCCAGGCAGGTCGATGCTGGCGTGCTCATGGATCCCAATACCATTCCGAATTATCCTCAGAGAGCCTTCCTTAAACGCTCCGGAGCACGTCACCAGCTGCAGGAACACACACAGCAACTGATGACACACACTGAATCTGGATCAGGGCTCTTCAGGACCGCAGTGATGCGCAGACGTCTCTCACCTGACCCTGTCCTTGTCTCTCCAGGTCCACCACACACATGTCCACTATCGGCCCCAGGTTAGTGAAGGTCTCCATTACAGCCACATACGAACCCTGGTCATTACTGTCCACATTCAGCTGCAAACACACACAAACACCACGCTGGCCTTAAACACGCCATTATCACAGAACAATAATGAATCTGTGAGATTACCAACCTTAACTAGTTGAGAATCCCCTAGTCTGGATCCCACAAACACCACACCGTTATCCAGATACGTCAGACACTCTGCGATAGAGGTCTAGTGAACACAAACAGAGACGCTAGTCACATCTGTATCTGATTTAAGCATTGCCATTTGCAGCCATATTAAATCAACACCGAACGCATAAAGCAGACACATCCAGCGATCTACAGGCCGGACTGTGACTGAAAACTAATGATTTGTTTGACTATACATTTGTACTGTAATTTCACTTTTTTTAAGAGCCTAATGTTCAGGTGTTCTACATAAAGCGTAGCATATATGTAGCGTAGTGTATTGTAGTGTAGTGCAGTGTAGCGTAGTGCAGTGTAGCATAGTGTAGTGCAGTGTTGTGTACTGCAGTGTAGCGTAGTGTAGTGCAGTGCACTGCAGCGTAGCGTAGTGCAGTGCAGTGTAGCGTAGCGTAGTGTAGTGCAGTGTAGCGTAGCGTAGTGTAGTGCAGTGTAGCG